CAAAAAAAAAAAAAAAAAAAAAAAAAAAAAAAAAAAAAAAAAAGAATAGATTCACAAGCAATAAGGATAAACTATTGTCCTCACTTTCCTTTTTTTCCTCCTCTCCTCCCCTTCTCCACTTTCTTGTCCTTACTTTTCCATTCATATTTTTCCATACTTTCATTGGCCTAAATTCAGGTATAGAACAGAACATAAAAATGTTGAAAATGTTAATTTTTAAATGAATTTTTAGTTTCATTGTTGGACTTTCTTAAACAAGTGGGGGCATGGACCTTGGTACTAGATTTTAAAACACAACAAACACATCTGTGCTTTAATACAGTGAAATAAATCATTAAAAAATTAAAAAAATATATTATAAAATTGTATTTAGGAATTCTATAGAGATGATGAGAATTTGGAGATCTTCAGTGGAAGAAAATCTGGTAGCCTCAAGTGTGGTTCAAAATTGCCTAGCAGAAAACAGCATATGGGATTTTTTGGAGAGTTTGAAGAGAGTGTCTAGGACTCTACACTAGACTGAACTTGACCTAGTCAGTTCTAATCATAAGGCTGGAATTTAATCCCCTATAAATGATAGGCAGTAGCAATGGGCCCCCATCCTGCTAGCATGTGAGCTGGTTGCCAGTGGTGGTCTGGAATGGATTTGAAAGAGCTTTATCTTGCCTTCAGGACACTCTAGAAGCTCTAAGACAGTCATGGACTGACAGGCTGTGTCCCTGCCCCTTCTTGGGGCTTCTTCTATCCCTTTCTCTCGGTCTTGCTGCATCCTGCAGTCAGATATAAACAAATCCAGCTTTCCCCAGCTCCCTGGCTGATCCATATGCTAGACCTCCTTCTTGGAATTTTTTCTTTCCTTTCTGACTGGCAAACTCATTCTCAATGTGCGGGCATCTGCTTGGCTGCTGCCTTCTCCAGAATGTGTCTCTAAGTATCCTCTCCTAGCTGCTCTGCATAAGTGTTGCACAATTTGCACTTAATCATCATCACTTGTCTAGCTATCACCCTCAATCCCAACCCCAGGCTCTGAGCTCTGATTTAATTGCTATAATATACCTAGGGTCTATCACTCAGCCTGAAAGGCAGCAAAGCAATCATAAATAATACTTATATAATAATTTTATAATTAATTGTATAGCATGGGAATAAAGACCAAGTTCTGCCTAGGGAAAAGATAGAGCATGCAAACAGGCAACAGGCATAATCAGAGTTATGATTATACCCATATTAACATTAATATATTAAGGCAAATGCTTCATGCAACAAGAACAACTCATAACAGTATGGTACTTAATATGGGGCAGGTATTGTTTTGTTTTACTATATTAGCTCAATTAATTCTCATACAATAAGATGTTAGCAAGGAAGCATAAAGGAAATCCTTGAGGGATGAACCAGTGAGTGGAAGAGAGGAGAAATAAAACCCTTTGGGTTCTGTCTTTTAACTATTCTGAGTCACCTCTTTTCTTGTGCATTTTCACTACCATCATTGCATTGTGAGATGAGAAGTGCACGTGAGGTGAGCGTGATACACATGGTCCCTAGATTCGGTGCCATTGCAGTACTGTTTAAGAGAGTGTGGCACCTGAATGTGTTAAGACCACTGTTCTGGAAACAACAGAAAGTCTGTGAAATATACTATTGCAACATCAGAGGTTACTCTGAGTAGTAGAGGTGGCCAAAGGTTTTGGGGGAAGGCTGCGCCTCTCACCAGCTCATTGCCTTTGCCCCCAGGCTCTGCTTCCAGACTGGCTTTTGTAAAAAGCATCTAAATGTGACTTTTTTAAAAGTAGTTTTTAAACAAGTAGTTTATGTAAAATATATAGCAGAAGTGTCTGTCTTTCCAAAGTAAGGCGAGGCCCTGAGTTTTAAGATATTTCTAGGGTGTCACAATTACACACTCTTGGATTAGCTGAATGTGGGAGCATTTGCTACAGATACCTACATCACCCCACTAGAATAATGTGTCATCTTACAGGAATTAAAGGGGTTCTTTGTTAAGTAAACCTTGCATACCTTCCCTGAACTGGATTTAGACATGTGGAGAACATAATATGAGATTTGTCTTTGATGACTTGCAAGAGGAGGGAGAAATGCATTTTATAACTATCCAAGAAACAGATTCAGTATATTTGAGCACTTCTCCATCAGATTTTTCATTTGACTTCACTAATTTTAAGGAAGTGAGACAGGGGGAGCATGGGAGTGACTTCTACCAGCTGCCCGGAAGGATGGTCACTGGAGAGAAGGGAGTCTCTTGGAAATCTATAACAGCTGCTCCACATGGGAATAACAAGCTTGACTTCTCCTGCCTGTCATGACACAAGGCTCTCTGCATCCCTCACAGGGCTCCTGGCCAAGCTTACCTCCCTCCTTAGCCAACCTCTACTGTTGACCTGTGTCACTGTGTCTCCTTATGAAAAGTCCTAATTCCTTTTTCCAACTGACAAATTTCTACTCTGCAAGGCTGCCATCGAATGGAACTCCCAGGACACTGACTAGGTCACATCCATCCGTTATGCACAGATATACTGCCTTGCCACTTTTCTTATTATTGAAACAAAATGCCCAAAGTTAAAAGTGGAAGGGTTATTTGGCTTATTTCGTAGAGGTTTTAGCTCATGATTGGCTGGCTCCAAGGCAGGGAGGCAGAAGAGCAACAGTTCAGGGTGGCAGAAGACAGCAAAAGCAACAAGAGACCTTAACAGCATCTTTCCGTCCCTTTTATCTTATCCAGACTATTGGGATTAGGGTAGTGCCAAACCAATTAGTGGGCTGATTTGGTAATCACAACCCCTTACTCTCAGCATCACATACTCTAGACTCAGCCACCTCTGAAAAAGCCCTATGACTGCATGAGGCTTCAGGAGAATATCTAGAAACAAACCACAACATGTACATTCAAGTACAGCATAGTGTGTGTGGGCTTAGTGCAGTGGTCCCCTACCCAGCAGCGGTGCCATCTGGAAAATGCAACCTCTCCATGCCTTAATTTCCTCATCTGGAAACAAGAGTAATGGGGGTACCTTATAAGGTTATTGCAATAACCAAGTAAATAAATTGGTATCTATAGAGTTCTCAGAACACTGCCTGGCCCAGAGAAAACGCCCAGTGAAATTCATCATTATAATTTTTATTGTTTTCAGAGTCAAGTACAATGATGAAGATTGGATAAATCACAGAAGAGCATCAATCAGTCACTCTCTTTTTGCCAAGAGAAGCAAATCACCTTTAGACTTATCTTTTCTACCACTTGTCACTGCTGGACTCTGTTTTCATTTCACAAGTCAACCAATAAAATATGATAGCTACTGGAAGATCACCAGAAGCTTTGAAAGAATCAGTAAAGACCAGTAAACACCTGGATAAAATATTGGTTTTTTTCTGAGTATAAAAATAATGTTTATAGTAGAAATTTGTGAAAAGAGAAACATAAAAAGAAAAAATTAAAATAACTCCTAATGTCTCCTATTGTGTGTGTGTGTGTGTGTGTGTATGTGGTAGCTACCCAGAAGAATATGAATGTGTATAATAATGTACATACAATAAATAAATAGTATATATGAAACAAATGTAAGTATCATGGTACAAATATACATAAATAATTTTTAGGTGACTGTGGTTAGAAACACAATTTTTATGGATATGTAGTTTATGGTTGTATCATTACTTATGTAATTAGTTTTCTGTTTTTGAGTATTTTGATTAACTTCCATTTATATGCCATATAAATCAGGTAAATTGTAAATTTCCTTGCATTTTCTTTTAGGAGAAAGGCATAGTTGAACAACTGCCACAGGTCATCTTTTATTGTATGTGCATCTTTTATTTGTTTTTAATGATAATTTTTCAGTTATCGAAGGCAAATCATGGTTCTTTATCTGGCTTATAAATTATAGTCTAGGAATTTCCTAAACTCACTAGTGGTGTGTTACTTTTAAAGCAATAGAATGCTATGTTCTGTCAACCTCTAAATAAAAGGATCAACCCGATCTACTTCCTGGCCCATAAGCTATTTATATTTAAGGACACAAAAGTTTGGGGATAATCAAGAGCCAGAGCATCCAAACTGATGTACAAGCTTAGGATGCTCAGAAAAATGCCCCTATAATCTCCCTGCTATGATATAAATCTAAAATGTGCCCCCAAACTCTTTTAAATTCAGAGCTGGGACTTTCATAAAGTGACTGGAGCACAGGAGCACTAAACTTACCAGTGAATCAATCCATTGATGAGTTTGCAACTCAAAGCTTCATTAGGAGTTGGGGCCTGTTGCAAGGGAGAATAAAACTGGGGAAATGACCTGAAAGGATGTATCCTACCTCCTTTCCTCTTTCTTTGTATCCTGGGCACCATGGATTGAGCAGCTTTCCTCTGACATGCCCTTCTACATGGCTGTTTCCATCTTGGAGCCAGTCAACTATGGACTGAACACTGTGAATCCATAAGCCAAAATAAATTTCTCTTCCAGTAAGTCGCTGGTGTCAGGTGTTTTATCTCAGTGGTGGAAAAGAAAGTAATACATTCCCTAGGGATATATTCCAAAATGAGAATCAAGTAGTTTTTTAAATAATAAAATTGATTAATGGAAGTGCTTATGGTAGTTTTCCAAATTTTTGTTTCAGGAGAGAAAGAGAGCGAGAAGGGGAGAGGAGGAGAGAGAGGAAGAAGAAGAAGAAGAAGTAGAGGAGGTTGAGGAGGAGGAGAAGAGTGTTTTTGTACTTTGCAATCAGATATGAAGTCTCATGTTGTAGCTTTATTTCACAGTTGTTTTAAATGTGCACACTGTCTCCGGCAAAACCCATTCTAAGACAATTACAGTAGACTCTGACCTCTGACTTTAAGCCCTTCTTTTAAAAATTTTTTTTAGTACTGGGGATTGAACTTGGGTCCTTGCATTTGCGAAGCAGGAGGTGACACCACTGAGCTAAATCCCTGGCCCTAGGCCCTTCTTAATAATGATTGTACAATAAATCTAAAACTGGGGCAAATACAAGACTGTTAAAACAATGTCTCCCCTTAAAACATCTCATGGCTTCTGGCCTGTAAATTTTTTCCCATACAGGCATTTGGGGATCTTTACAAAATGATGCTTCTGGAGTTTTGCTTGGCTGACATACTGACCGCCGTTCACAGCATGCTGCTTTCTAAGCATCCCCAGAAAGGACTGGCCTTCATGAGCAAACTTTCATCTCCAGACCTGTCACAAGACAGTCCCAGGAGATGCTCAGGGGAACCTTTTGGACATTCTCCCAGTACCATCTTTCCAATGTGTCTACTGCTACACTTGCCAACTCAATCTTATTAGAGGTTGGATCTGTAGATTTAATGGGTCTCTCAGACCAGGGCTCCTGCCTCCTGGTCCTTAATGAGGGCCAGGGATTATGTCTTTTCACCTTGGGTGGGGAAAAACTGGGGTGAGAGTATGGAATCAATGTAAAGAGAAGTTAACTCATTTGAAGATCTTCTATAAGGCTTCAGGAAGTGGGAAGTGATTTAAATCCCAGACAACCTATCTTCCCTGTGGGCTTGCCTAAATATGAAAACACTCTGAGGTTTTCCATTCTATAAACTCTGGAATGGGGCAGCTAGGAGACTTGTGTTACTTCCCTCACATATATAAGTCGTTTTCATTAAAAATTGGGTCATGACTAATTTTTTTCCTTCACCATTTAGAAGGACCCATTATGGAAAACCATTCAGAAGAGATGAGATCAATTTTCGCTTAAAAATTAATTTTTAAGTTGCAAGGAGAAGAGGAAGTTTCGTTTGCCCACCTGAACTTCGCTGAAAATTGAGGGATTTCATGAATAATTTTGGCATCTAGGGTTATCTGATTCTAAAAAGTAAAAAGTGAGGTGAAATCTGAATTCCCACGGATCATCCAGCATTGAAACCTGGGTGATTCAGTAAGTAGCAATTTTGTGGGATTCAACTTTTGAGGGTAAAACAAACACAAATGCTCCTCCTCCGAGGGGTGGGGGCGGTTCCCCAGCGATGCACCAATCAGAGTGCATCCTACCCTATATAAGGCCCGGCAGTCTAGTGTTTTACCCTTGCCAGTGGTCAATATACTTTGGTCTCCTTGTGTGTTATGTCAGAAACGCTACCTGTAGGTCCTGCTGCTACTGCTCCAGACCCCATGGGAAAACTACTTGGTAAAAAACGAGGCAGGAAGGCGGCGGTTGGCGGCTCAAATGCAAAGCAGAAGGTCCAGAACTCTTCAGTGTCCAAGTTGATCACTGAGGCTCTGTTGCAGTCGCCAGACCGAGTTGGCATGTCTTTTGCCGCTCTCAAGAAGTCCTTAGCTGCCGCCGGGTATAATGTGGAGAAGAACAACAGCCGTATCAAGCTGGCTGTCAAGAGCTTAGTAGAAAAAAGAGTTCTGGTGCAGATCAAGGGGACTGGCGCCTCTGGGTCCTTCAGGCTCAGCAAGAAAGTTGTTCCTGAAGCCTCCAAGGGCAGGGGTAGAAGGCCTGCTTCTGCCAAGAACAAGAAGCTGGGCTTGCCCAGGGATTCCAGACCCCCAAAGAGCACTAAACCCAACAGGGGGTGCCAGAAGTCAAAGACTCCACACAGTGAAGCCTCAGGCAGCAGGAAGAAGGCCCAAAGGTCCAAGAGCCTGCAGCCACAGAAGAGCCCCGCCACGGCCAGAGTGGGGAAGGCCAAGCCTAGGAGGCCAAGGTCGGCCCTTTCGAAATCGAAATCTAACTCCAGGAAGGTAGTGTCTAAGAGAGCAGCTTGAGAAGTAAAGGACTAGTTTTGAGAATCCAAAGGCTCTTTTAAGAGCCACCGAAACAATTTTCAAAGTGGTGTGACTCTGCAAACTTACAGAAGTTCTTGCAACGAGTCTAGGTTTTTAATTGCCTACTAACAAATTGGGCTCTGATTAAGAAGTAACATCTAAATTTACATATGTGTTATATGTTTACATATATTTTTATAAAAATAAAGTTCTTGGGTGTTGCCCATTCCGGAAGGTGAATACACATGCAAGGATTTACAGGGTAGGGCTTGTCACTTAAGGGTCCAGTATTTTTTCTGGAAAAGGCCACAGGAATGGGAGTACAGATATGTTCACCATCAGAAAAAAATCTGTTAGCATTTTTCTTAAAACTCCTTAGTCCTATTTACAATTTACTCATTTAATGTCATGTAAGAAGTTCCTTGGTGTCCACAGACTTATGTGGGATCGGTAAATATGAGTAAAGATGTCCTAGAATTTGGGCTATAGAAATGTTTTACCTTTAAAATTTTTTATTAGCTTTCAGCTGAAAGTTTACAATTTTCTGAGTATGACAATACTTTCAGTGTTCAGTTACAGGAATCAGCATATACCAGTGATGGAGAGTTTTAAAGCTTTCAGTGACAGCTATACTATTACATGTCTGGTATATGAACAGATGCAGATGTATCTTTAAAAATGACAATCCTATTGGTCTTATAGGATTGTAATCCTAAGTATAATTCATGTATTTATGAAAAGTGTACAGGCTTCATGAGTCTGCTGGGATACTCCACAGGTTGAAAAATAACGTATTTATCTTAAAGTGTTTGTGGCTGCACAAATAGCTGAATTTAACCTTAAGACACAAAAAATTTATTTGGACTCAGAGTCCAACCTGAAAGAACTATAAAATTAGTTTAATCTGTGATTGTTTCTTCATCTGTGATTTTGCATTCTTCTGCATTCCTCCTTAACAATCACTCATAATAAATCCAAACTGATGTTAATCTATTTCAAACTTTTTGTTTTGGGGGCAACTTTGAGCAAAGGTGAAACCATGCCTTTGACCATTATTTGGTAGTCTTCTTTGGGTAGCTCACTTCTGCAAACTAAAATTGTTCACTAACATGGAAAACGACTATATGCATAATGGTTTCAATTTAGTCATCTCTAGCCCTTGCCTTGTTTAGGTATTAGGATCACTGTTCCAGGTTGAAATTGAGGGTGGTCCAATTACACCCGGCCTGAATTAAGTCCCTGCTCACCACTGTGCACTGTAGGGGCTGTCCCCAGATTCCTGTCCCAGGATGATGACCTGCTGGCCTCAGCAGGTTCTTCGGCACTAGGGGATCCTCTAGATGGGACTGGGCACCTTTGAGCCTGCTTCCCAGCACCCCAAACAGCTCGAATTAAAAGCTGTTAAACCCCATTTCTTCCTCTAGGTTTTGAGCCTGTCCATTGGATCTCCTTGTTTTTGTCTATAGTGTATCAACCATGAAGTCACCCTATCCTCTGCAAAACTACATTTGTACTCCTTTGAGAACTTTAAGCGAAGACGCCTCCCGGGCACTTGTCAGAATGAGCTGCCAGAGCTGGTATTTGTGTACACGAAAGGCCCCAGCCGAGCCCAGCCCACAGGGGGCTTCTCGGAGCTCTCAAAAGGCTGAAAGTATGCGCATCTTGGAGGGAAAAGTTTCTTGGTGTAATTTACGTTTACATTACTTCGTCACCATCATCTTACGACAAAATGTCGTAAAACCACCAGACTAGGAAATCAGTTTTGCCTACTTACCTGCTGCCGTCAAGCTGCTGCCTAACTGATCAGATTTAAACCAGCCTTGACCGCCCTTTATGTGACTTTGTGGGCGGCCCTGAAAAGGACCTTTGTTCAAAAGTACAGGCTGTGGCAGAAATCAGAAACCTCAGCCCCCGAAGCCGTAGAGCGTGCGTCCCTGGCGCTTGAGCGCGTAGACCACGTCCATGGCCGTGACCGTCTTGCGCTTGGCGTGCTCCGTGTAGGTGACGGCGTCGCGGATCACGTTCTCCAGGAAGACCTTCAGCACCCCGCGCGTCTCCTCGTAGATGAGGCCGGAGATGCGCTTCACGCCGCCGCGCCTGGCCAGGCGGCGGATGGCGGGCTTGGTGATGCCCTGGATGTTGTCGCGCAGCACCTTGCGGTGCCGCTTGGCGCCACCTTTGCCAAGACCTTTACCTCCCTTGCCGCGTCCAGACATGGTTGAGATAACAGCACTACAGAAGCAGGGTGCAGCCCTTAAATAGTAGATTTGCGGACCTCATTGAAAACCACGAGGTTGGTAGAAATTTTTCAAAAATTAGTTCAGCGAGGGGGGTGTGGCAAGGGTTAGGGTTTATTAAAATTTCAGTGTTTTGATTGGCCAGTGAAACCTTGCCTTTCGTTGGGGGGCTAGACGGAGGGATACGGGTTTCATCGGCCCGGAATGCTTCATTTTTTTTCTGTATTGCATTACTGTGTCTTTGCACATTTGTAAGTTAAAAGTATTTTTTATCAGGTCAATAATTATAAGCAAAGATTCTCTTTCTACTTTTTAAAGAAAATTTCCACTAATTAGGTAACGACTCCTTGAAGTACAAATTATGTCTATGATAAGTAGATCAATATAGCAAGAGGGTTTCCCTGTGGATACTTTGAGTTCTTCTGTTCAAACCACGCATTTTAACGCGGACAGAGTCAAAACCTTGTGCCGGACAGAGTGCAAACCTGGCCGTAATATTTCTGCCCTCATAGCCTCTTTGGGGACAGAAGTGGAAGAAAACTGCAAATTAAAACCCTGTAAGTGCAAATTCTTCCTCTTCTTCCCTACCTAATTTCAGACATTTATTGAGTGACTCCCTTTCCTGTGAATGTCTGTGAGGGAGGCAGGAAACCTGAAGCTAAATTTGGGGATATTCAGTTAGTGTTGTGACCAGATCGTGATATCCCCAAAGACCACCAAGGAGTCGAGTCCAATGTAATTACATGAGGAATTTATTGCAGGTCGAGCCCGGCAAACTCGAGCCTGGACCTCCAGTGGCACTGTCACAGTGGCTTCCAACTGACCCACTTAAGGGCATGATTATATAGGGGTGGGGAGGCTTTCTCTTTTTATTGGTGCTATTTTTAACTTTTCATTATTAATGGCTATTACTGGGGTACTTACGAGAAATAACTAATACCCATGAGGAAATCAGCGGGGAGTCACTATGTTCTTTGTTTTCAAAGAACACCCTATATAATTGCACAATTAGGGAAACTTTTTATACTTAGCAAAGTATATGATCTTTTTAACTTATCCATTACTAAGCGACTATCGGGGAGGAGATAAGTTCACCCTTGGGTCAGAAGAAGAGGAACAGAAAAACAGGGAGGAGGCTGTTATAGCCCCCCCCCCAGCCCAGAAAACTTAGTCTTGCTATTCAGAGCAAAGGGTAAAGAGGGAGACCACCTTGATCAGAAAACTTGGTTCCTACATTAGCCCTATTCCATGGCTCCTGTGCTGTCTGATCTGCCTGCAGTTCTGAACACGCTGCTCTTCTTGTAGTAATCCCCTTTCAACCTGCTCTGGTTTTTGAGACAAGAATGTACATTTGTAGAATTGGGAATTAATTATATAGGGCTAATACTTGATTAAGGTCATGACAAAGCCTACAAGGTCTTCCCCTTAAAGGCCTTTGATGAGATTAGTGATGTTAAGGTTAATCCCATTTTTTTTTTTTAAAGATAGAACAGCAGAATTCAGTCTGTGTGTAGTTTGAAAAGACTTCTCCAAATTTTCTCCTTAGCTTCCTGCTGCAGCTTTTGGAAGTTTTCAAGGTAAGAATCACTCTTGTTTAAAAACAAAATCATAGTAAATAAACAAATGCCTATTGTGGATGTATAAGATTTAGACTGTGGCCTGAGACAACATATTACAACCTCAGACATATATACAAACTGATGCAGAGAAGGAGAAGACAGGGCAGAATATATAAATGCTGGGCTTTGTTACACTTTTAAAATAAGTGGTCATTTTCTGTACCTAAATTGAGAGATTTTAGTTTTGTGATTATCAACTCACCACACCTCGAACTCCATAACAGGAAATTTAGCTAGTAAGAAAGTCAAACACTACCAAGAAAAAGTGCAAGTTACTGGCAAAACTCTGAAATTGCAATGTGTTAAAATTCATACACATGAAAATATAGTGCATATAATGTGATATGGGGGATAAATTTATGGTGAGCATTACTTTGAAATTTATCCCAGGAAATGCCATTTTCAGTATAACTGTACACCTAGGTTGCTTTTTCTCTAAATCACCTTCACTTATTACAGCATTAAAAATAAATTCTGACTTATTTTGATGTTTTAATTTATTCTTTTTTCCTATTCCTTCTAATATCTCATTTTTTATTTTTTTGCAATAACAATGATTAAAAAATAGTGAATGTGTAAATGATATGGTGGTACAATCTGTAATCTCAGCTACTTGAAAGGCTGAGGCAGGAGGATTACAATTTATAAATCAGCCTGGGCAATTTAGCTACATTTTGTCTCAAAATAAAAAATAAAAAAGGGCCAGGAATGTAGTTTAGCGGTGGAGCACCTGCATAGCGTATGTGAGGCGTTGGGTTCAATCTCCAGGACTGGAAAAGTAAAAAAAATATATACAAGTAGAAATATACAGTACTTGAACTTTTCCACTGTAGGAAGAGTACAGATATTAATCATGTGGTTTGAGAGAGGGGTGGCTTACCCTTCAGTCCCATGTGGCTTCCTATTCTTTCTTGTCACCTTCCTCTCATCCTCCAGGTGAATCTAGTCTGGCAGAACACCATTCATTTGACAGGCGAATAAGGCCCTTTAGATAAAGGCTCTCTAAACCAATGTTGTGGCTAATAGGACTCATGGAACACTAGGACAGTTGAAACTATATTAATTGGAGGTATTTAGAAAAGTATGAAATGTCCAGAATGCTCCCCAGTCTAATTCCATCAGAATATTAGAATTATGAAATAGCATATATGTATGTTTTCTTCAAATAATTTTGAATCAAAGGCAGCCCTATGTACACCAGTACTTTTAAATGTATGACTGCACTTTAGTAAGGAAATTTAAGGATAGAAATACTTTTGAGCTCTGTTACAGTTGAGGAAATGCATATGTATAGTCTCATCAGAGGGCTTAGAAGGGGCCTGTGGGAGCTTTATCAGTCATTTTTGCCCACCATCTCTAGTCTGGGTAGAAAGTTCCTGTAGCCACTTGGCAAAATGGTCTCACTCTCCACTTAGCTTTCACAGCATTTCTCATTTCAGCTGCCTCACCTTTATTTTAGTTATGAAGACCCATTTTCTTGTTCTCCTTCCCTGCATTCACTGTCATTGCTGTTGGCATGACTGGTTCCATAACATAATCTATGTTTCTCCCCATTTCCCTTCCATCTTCTCCTTTCTCTTCTAAGAAAATGCTCCTGCTCTTCCCCATCAGTCCAAATTCTTTCTCCATGTGTACTTCCTGGCCTGGGTCCTTTGTGAGAGTTCTCCTACAAACACTCTCCTATAAACACTCTTAATACACTTTGACTTGGTTTTTTTTGGGGGGGGTTATTTATACAGAGAATTTCTAACATTATCCTTTCTTAAATATTTGCTTCAAAACTTTTATAAACATATTTGCAGCTAGATTAGTTTTTCAAAATTCTCTTGCATACTTTCTTGATGACATACAAAAAGCAAACTATTTTGCATTTGTGTTAATGATGAAACTATGAGCCTAAATGAAAACAAAAAGAAGTCCATTAACCATTTGTATTTAAAACACATACACACACACCCCAAGCTCTTTGGGTAGGTGAAGTTGATTATTCACTGGAAGAAACACAGCATATTTAATCAATCTGCAAAATTAACTAACAATGCTTACACTCAAGTTTATATAAATTATTGGTACTAACCTCCTAAAGAGTTCATTGATGACTTCAAAATTCTTTGCAGCTTTAAGGTCAAAAGCCATAGTTTTGTTTTTTAAAAATAATAACAATACTTTCTACCCTAATATAGTGGATAAAATGTTTTGTAGCACCTGAAAACTACCCATACCAGATTCCTCCCTGAATGATAAAAATAATAAATAGAAGTATGAATTTAGTAGTTAGGAATTTGTGTATGTTTAGAAAAATATTTTAAATTGAAAGGTATAAATACCTGAAAAATACTTTAAGATACTTCTGATTTAATAATAGGAATATGGTAAATTCTAAAATTTTAAAGCAGATTCCCAAGTCACTGTAGAAAACATCAGAGCTACTGCTACTAGGCACAAGAATGAATAATTCAAATGTCATCCCGAGAAGTTGGTAACACCGTGTTTTCTTGCGTGAGAAGTTAAGTGTTGTGTTATAGCCAGGAACTCTACTCTAACCCAGAACGGTTAGATTAAAATTCCAGCACAGCTATTTCCTGTGTAAATTTTAGCAAGTTAACCTTTCTGTGCCTTGGTTTCCATAAACTCAAGATAAAGATGAGGATAACAGTAGTTTTTACTTCAGAGGGGTATTTGGAAGAATTAAATTAACATTCAGACATAACCTGGCAACAGTACTTGAAAATAATTAGCTAAAAATTAATTTTAGAAAACATTCATGTCATAGAAAACTTTACTGAGAATGAAAATCCATCTAGCCAAAAAAGAAAAAGAAAAAAGAAAAAAAATCTCCTTAAAACACACCATGTTTCTCTTTTGTCTTAAACAGTTACAAAGAAACAGAATGCCTAAGCTAACAGGATACCCAGTAAAATGTAAATGTATGCACGATTTCAAAGCAGTCCAGGCTGTCTAATAAAATAAGCACACAATATCCTTTAATATATTGCATTAATATTCTCCAAGTTAAAGAATGCAAATTATTCACAAAAGCAAAAAGGGAGAATACATTATGACCAAAGTCCACAGAGAGAATGGCAATTACAAATTCCAGCCTGTATAAGAACATTTTTAATACTTAAAGGCACAGATTAGCTTACTAATTATTTTTAAATCAGAATGTAGTCAGAAAGAGAACAGTAGATTAAAGCTGATAACTTTATGAGAAATTTTGGCATTTACAGAAAGGTTTTTGCTTCTAAATGTGCAGATGTCCCCAAAGAATGTATTATAACATGTAGAGTCGACACAGCATCCTGAAGTTTGCATTACAATGTGATAGGAGACCTCTGGCTTGTACCTTCCAGCAGGCCTCAATCAGCTGTTACACTTGACTCAGAGATTACTAGGTTTTGTTTTCTTTCTCTTGTTACCAGTTCAGGAACTCAGCATGGCTGAAATCTCAGCCATTCAAACAACTGGTAAATGGTTTGCTTATTTGATATTCAGGGTCGCTGAAAGCGCTATCACTTGCACCAGCTAGTACAACCATTTACCCTCAGGAAAAGCCTAGGCCCAGCTCTCCAGTGTCTTCACCAGTGAGACACATCTAAGGCCAGCAGGTGTCGCCCTCCTCTCTACGGCCACACTGCCAGAGCTGAGAGAAGATAACGTAGAAAACTGAAAATGTAAGTCTTTGACTTCGAATGTGGTTGATTTAAAAACCTGATAAAGCCAGAAACGAACAAAAAAGGATAATGGAGTTTTATTAATTATGATTTCTGTGACAAAATATTAATAAACCAAATGTTATGGTGAAGACTATGGTGTTTCTTGCCATCTCAGACTGAGTAATCAAATTAAACTGGAACATAGCCACTCATGAGGTGAAGAGTAAGAAGACTTTTGCTATCATGCTTTGAATATAGGATGATGTTTATAGAGAAAGATCTCATCAATGTGCTTCTAGCTTGGTTTGGAGATAAAATAGCTAGTGCCTTATAACTTAGATATTACTGTCCCTACACTGAAGAAAAACAATTAACTCAGCTACCACAGTTTAATGAAAATCTTCCATGAAACAAAATGTAAGAAAAAATGAAAAGCGCTGTAAGTGTCCCAAAATGACATTACAATTACATACATAGCAGGGACATGAACATTGGTAAAATTAAGCAGTAAATAAATGTACACTTATTAAAATATGTTAATTTTATACATTGTAACACAGAAATATGATCCTACGAGGTATTAAACAAATTGTTATTAGAGTCTAAAAGCAAATGAAATTGTAAGTTGAATGTTACTCAATTTTCAACTTTTGTAAAAGTGCTAATTACTTTTACTTTCTTCTGTGTAACTTTCATAACCAGAAAAAAACAAAAGGATTTTTAAAAAAGTTGAGAATACTGCTCAAATTTAAAACCTTTTGAGCTGTGTTTGGTCCCATGAGTCACTTGCCCTCCAACACAGCACTTGTAACACAGTTTTGTAGCCAATATATGCAGCAGCATAAAGTCACCATGTGTCCTATGGGTGGAGATATAGATGTACATGATTCTTTGGGTCATGCTTGGATAAATACCTTTCCCAGAGTCTAGATATTCCTGAGTGGCTGAGTTCAAACTGTTTCAAATGTCTATAGCTGGAGGAGACAGTCAGAATCCCAGCAGCCCCAGGAAGATTCCTGGGCATCCTCCAAACTATAGTTTGTCACGGGAATTGACAGGATTCTGACTCCATAGACACTGGCCGGGGGAGGACATTGTAAAGCACAACACAGTCCCAGCCTGACCCCACTAAGCCCAGTCCTTGTGCAGAGCTAAAGAGACAGAGCAATGGAGGCTCAAGGGAGTCAGTGTCTGATCCGTTTGATAAGAAAATGGCAGCTGAGATCCATAGATTGTTTTGTTTTCCTTCATGTGGATCAAGATCACTGAGAAGAGATGCAAAGAGAAAGAGAAGAGCCATCTCCTCCTCCGTTTACTCACTGCCTCTGTACCACCAGGATGTATCAGTACTGGTATGGTTCACACTGCTGAATAGTTGGGATTGAGAGCTGTCTTTCTTGGGCAAGCTAGAAGATTCTCTACACTTCTCTTTCTTCATCTATACCCACGATGGCAAACCTTTTAGAGCTTTCAATGAGAACAAAGAGCCGGCTGTGGCGTGTGTGCCACGGGATCACCACCACAAAAGGGGTGGAGGATTAAGGGCCTACCTCATAGAATATTATAAGAATTGCATGCAATAATGCCTGTATGCAGTGTGCAGGACAGAATATGGTACTACATATTTTTAAAAAAAAATAAGTATCAGCCACACTATCCTTATTATAACTATCCTTTCCATGAATTTCATTACAGGACGGGAGAAATGGTATTTCAGCTTGGGCTTGCTAGGGTGGGACCATCCTGCAGGACCATCCTTTGAAAACCTATGTGCTGCCTTTGTACAAATTAGAAAAATCCCTTTAGGGTACTTCCTCCCTGCCTGCTGTAACACTACCAAAGTATACATAATACCCATTCTTTTCCAGGAAAGGTGCCTCTTCGGATTGAGCAGTGCACAGCCTTCACAGCTGCACAATGACCCATGTCTTGCTGTGAAGGAAGGGAATCCAGGACTTGGTAACAGATGAATTACTGGATAGCAGAGAAAAGGTGACTCACAGGGAAAGTTGAGTGGGTCCTGGATGCCAGCACGAGTACATAAAATTCTATGAGGAGCAGGAGTGTCCATGTCCCAGGGTGAAGCTTTTCTCAGATGTTCAGAAGAAACACAAGTCTCCCAAATTTGAAAGCCTTCTTTCAGAGGTTGGAAGTGAAATGGTGTAGGTGTACAGGCTCAGAAGTGATGGAGGAAATGAAGGAAGCTTCTGGATGCAGTTTGAGATTTCTGCAAACCAGTTCTCTGGGAAGGCAATGCTGGACATGTTCATGCAGGAACTCAAAGAGCTACCTGAGGAAGACTTTTTAGAAAGCGAAGAGGGAAACTAAGAGCAGAGAGTTGTTTGGGCAGTTTCTATTTGTTAAGTCCTACTGTTCTAAAATATGAAGAATTCCACAAGGATGCTCCCTCTTTGAGTCTCTAGTTGTGTCTCCTCCACAGAACAGGTCTGCAGACTGCAAGTCACTCACACCCGGCTAAGACATAGTCCCGCATGGCTCCTCCTGAGGAGATAGGGGACCCAGGGAGAAGTGTCACAGACGTTGGCATCATCTGGCCTCTTTCATGTCCCTTACCCTCCTCTTTCATCCATCTCAACTTGGGCCACTCTTGTCCAGGGGCACTGTTGGATTTCCGGTCCTGTGTTCCCTCTTCTGAAATCATTCATTTGCTTTCTACCTGTTCTTGCTGCCCATCTCACTTCCTAACAATCCATCTACCATCTGAAGTAAAGTGTATCTCTCCTTAACTGATACCCCAGTGGCCGTAACATAATGTCCCAAAAAAAAAGGATACATTCTCTGGTTTCTGTTCCCTCTTTTTTCCCACACCACAGATGTTCAGAGCATGCAGATTTGTGAAATTGGTGACCAGGTACAAAGCCAGGACACCAAGGTGCAGTAGCTCTCACTTCCTGTATACTTCACAGTTTCCTACTCACACGGCTGCTCCACCTTGTAGGCCTTTCCTTTTCCTAAACCTCATCTAAGGAAATGGCACTTCTCTTTCAAGATTCAGAAGCCTCCTTGGTCCCAGTTGTTGTGATTATTCCTTCCTCTGTCTCTTAGAGCATGTGCTCCATATCTGCTCTAGGACCTCAGTGGTCTTTATCTGTGTTAACATGTCAATTCATGTCATTCCCTCCTGAGAATAGCCACAGTGACTTTATCAACCTCAGAATGCCTTCCCTGCCTTTCACAGCACCTGTACAGTATGAAGTGCTCAGAAGGTTAGATTAAGAAATTTAACTCTGAGGGAAAACCCACATTCTTTCTTTCTGCTTCCCTGAGGTGCTGGTGCTCCCAAAGAAAGGAAGAGAGGAAAAATCTTCTCATGGACAGGACTTTCCCGCTGCCCCATTTTCTGCAAGAAGATGAGTTACATTCTATGGCAGAGGCACAATGACACTTCCTCATCCTTCCTACTCACTTGAAGCCTGCTTCTTCCTTAAAGTTCTGAACAAAATTCCAGTAAAGAAGATGATGACACAGACAGTAGTGCCACTGGTGATTCCAATGACCAAGGCATTAGATGGTGAAGGCTCTAAAAAAAGCAAGAGGGAGTTCAAGCCCTTGATTGCTCCCCCAAAGCAAGCCCTCCCCCGACTTCCACAGTGAGCACCCCGGAACCCCTACAACAGATTTTTCTCAGCCTGAGGCTCTTGTTCTTACCCCAGGTTGCTGTGAGGGGCTGATCCAGGCCTGCATGTTCCACTTGGCAGGTGTACCTCTGCTCCTCCCCAAGAGGCACAGACAAGGCCACCCAACCCTGGTAGGTCCCATCCCCATTGGGCAGCACATCCTTCCACCCGCTCTCCTTGACATCCAGTGGCTGCTTGTCCTTCAGCCATCTCATGGTGATGTTCTGGGGGTAGAAGTTCAGAGCCTGACACTGTAACATGGTTGCTGCAGGAGCCACGTGATGAGTCACCTTCACCGAAGGAGGTACTTGAAAGAGGAAGGATGAAGAGAGAGGATCTTTTTACCCTTGCCTAGAAGATTGCAGCTTCCACTTACCTCTATGGGTTGGAGGAAGGACATATCTTTTTCAGACAAAATGGGCTGCAGGAGAAGCACCATTTTTGTGCCCTAAAACTCTTTCCAAGATTCAGCTCTAATGCAGCATTATATGGAGAACAGCCATAGACATAGCTATCTGTTCCCTTGTCAATGTCTCTCTTGTCTGCTCTCTGTGTAAATATGCACACAGGCTCTCAATTCCAGTGGGCCCAACCCTATAAGTATTCTTGCAATAAAGGCTCTCAGAAGATACCAGGCCTTAACGATTGTTGCTATGTATTGTAAAAGTAACTTTAACCTGCAAGGATTCTGCTGTTCTGAAGGACTGTGTCACTGTGTATTTTCTTGCTTGGGTATTCATGTGATAGTTGACATTTCTAAATTCCTAAAAGGTATAAATATACACAAGTTTTTTGGCTAGCTCAAAAGATTACAGATATTTCCTCTTTGGACACATGCATGGGGAAAAATAAGATCACGACTCATGGTTGCATCATACATGTCAATCATGAGGTGAATATTGTAGGACTGGGAGAGATGAGATAATATACACAGCCTTGGCCACCTCTGAATCCTCAGCCAGGAACCCTGTGCCTCTCATTCCTCCGCTCCCTCACTAGAATGTGAGAATAGAAAGGTGCTGTCACCATACCTGACTGGTCCAGAACCCCTCTCCCCAGCTCCAGGAACCTCTGCAGCTGCTCAGGGCAGTCTTTCTCCAAGTAGGCTTTGATCTGCTTCTCCCGAATCTTGTGCTCTTCCCACTCCAGCTTGGTGGCATGGGCTGCAGGCTCTGCTGCTCTCCAATCCAGTGTCTCGGGGCAGAAGTCGAGGTGGTCCTGCCCATCGTACCCGTACTTCCAGAAACCCCTGGTGCTGTTGTCTTCCTGCACCTTGCAACCCAAGATCACCTGCAGGGTGTGGGGCTCTGGCAACACCCCCAGCTCATTAATGAAACCAAAGGAGTAGGTCCCTGACCCTACCATCCCCAAGGCCCACACAACGCCTGGAGGATTATGACTCTCCTCTTTCTGCTCCTAGGACCTCAGGCTCCCAGCTCTCCCACACAAGCCTCCCTAGGCAGTGAGATGCTCCAGCACCTCAGGAAGGCAAGACCTCTCCACTCACCCTTGTTGTGGTTGTGGTTGTCCATGATAGTCCAGAAGTCCACAATGAACATGTGCTCCCACCCTTTCAGGCTCTGACTGAGCTGGAGCCACAGCCGGCTTGAGGTCCTGCTCCCAATCCATGGAGCCCGGGCCTCAGCACGACGACTCTCACGATTGTAGGACACGAACAGCTGGTCATCCACGTAGCCCAGAGCCTCAAACAATGGCAGCCCAATGTCGGGCTCTGAGGCACACATGAAGAGGTAGTGCAGGGTGTGGGAGCCTGGAGAGAGAGCAAGAGGCATTTAGCACTGGCCTCAGGGGGCCCAGCTTCAGAATCGACTTAGCTGAATCAGTTCATACAACCAGCTGGGTCTGTGTCACCCAGTGGAGAGTGAGACACAGTCCTGCATCCTTCCCCAATACAACCTTGGCTGAGTTTCCTGTGCACCTCTCCCATCACAGGTGGCTGCCACCCACTAGCTGTCTATCCCATTATTCCTGACTGGGCAATTTCTTCCAAAACCAACAGACTCTACTCTAGTGAATCCTGAAGCATCTCCAGCCATGGTAGCTGAGCTCAGCAGGTGGGGTTCAGTGCTAATCATATCCAGTCCTAAGAAATTTCCACCTCCAAATACTTTTCTATGATAGTGTTGGCTGTGAAATGCTGGGAGATCTGCTAATGCACAGTTTAAGACAAATGTCCAGCAAACACTGAAGGCGCTCCTGGAAGCTGAGAGGACAAGACTTCTAGTCAGGTCTCCTTCCCTCCATGACAAAGTGAGGGGGCTCAGAGATGCACCCCCAGTGCCTACATTGTCACCTGTCACATGGTAGGTATTTCATAAATGTTTGTTGGATGAATACATGATAACTCTTAGATTTTTACCTCTGACCCTTAACACTAGGCTCTTACTGCTTTGAAATACAACATAGATAACCTGATTAAAATCTCAAACTGATATCCCAAGTTGGGCTCTCAGTTTTCCCCAAAACTGTTTCCTTTGCCTTTACTATTTCAAGAATAGCATCACAAATCACCCTATTGTGAGACTGATGAAATAAAATAAGCAAAGAACAGTGTTGCTTTTGAATTTTTCTCTTTTGTGTCATACATACGTAGATCTTTCAGCAATTTCCTTAAAAAAAAAAAAATCCAGAATTCAAATGTTTCCTGTTTCCCCCTCCCAGCCCCAGCTCAGCCTGCTCTACCATTTCTTGCCTGGGCTTCCTGTTTGGTCTCTCTGCCTCATTGTTCTCATTGTTTTGCTTTCCACAGAGCAGCCAGAGTGAGCGGTTCAAAACCTGTGACAGGTCCTGTCACTCCTCAGAGTCTACACCACAGCCTATGGGTTTTCTGTGACCTTGCCTGTGGGGCCTTTCTGATTCTGCTACCCACTTCTCTGCCTCCAGTGCTGTACTTCTTGCTCTTTCTTCAACCCAGTGTTCTTCTTTTCCCCATCCCTCCCTCCTTTCCTCTCCCCTTCCTTCCTATGGCACCAAAGATTGAATGCAGGGCCTCATATTGAGCTCCATTCCCATCCTTTTTTATTTTTTATTTTGACATGGGGTCTCAATAAATACCCGAGTCTGGCATCCCCCACAACACATGACACTAATCTAGTATTTTTAAACAGGATTTGTTTCCCGAGGAAGATCTGGCTGTGAATGGAGATGCCTTGCTACTAGCTAGTAGCATCTAGTGAATGGAAGACAGGGATTTTGGTAGACATCATGCAATGCACAGGACAGCCTCCATCCCCCCCGACCAAAATTGTCAGTACCACTGGGAATGCCTGCAGGATCTACTGGTCTAGTCCATTGCTTAGAAAGCTGGCTCCCAATCTTTGTGATTTAACCTCGGCTTTTTTTTTTTTTCATTGTTCTGGGGATTGAATTTAGGACTTTGAGCTTGCCAGGCGCTTTGTTGCCCAGCTACATCCCAAGCCCACCTAGGCCCTTCTAACTGAGCTACATACTCACCCTTTTTGAATTTTTTTCTTTTGAGACAAAGTCTTGCTAAGTCACCAGGTTGCCCATGTTGGACTTGACCTTGCAATGCCCCTGCCTCAGCCTCCCAGAGGGGTGGAATTACAGGCATGTGCCACCAAGCTAGCTCAGCTATATTTCTTTCAGGTCTCTGTTCAAATGTCAGAATGCGTGGCTTGCCCTTTCCTCCCTCTCTCACATGTATTCATCAGACATCATTTCTTTGATGTTCTCATCTTTCTTCTCTCTCCCCCTCTCCCCCATCTCCCTCTCTCTTTCTCCCCCATCTATCCCTCTCTTTTTTTAAACTGTCATCTCTCCCATTTGAATGCAAAATATCAGAGGGCAAATACATTGTTCCTTGCTCCTTCCCTGGGCCCAGAACAGTGCAACACAAAGTTGGGACTCATTCCGTACGAGTATTTCAAGTTAACATCAAATTCTATGACTCACTCTGTAACCACTGATGTTTAAGAATCTCAAATGTGAAGGGGAGACTCAAGTTCTACTGACAAAGCTACATAACAGTAGACAAAGTTATCTGCAGCCTGGCCATGCCGCTCTTCTCACCTGTAAAGTGTGGCTATGGTACATATAGTTAGTGCTTTTCTGAGGCTGAAGTGCAATTATGTATGTAAAGTGCTGAGTGCAGACTCTGGGTAAATGGTGAAGACATTGTGAGTTAGCCGCAGTGGTAGAATTTAATTTGTCACGGAGAAAACCAAATTGATTGTATTCTTTGTAACCTGAGGGGAGTTATTTAACCCGAGGGCTGGTGAACCAGTAAACCTACAAATAGCTACTTCCCAAAACATAAGGGGAATCAACAAGATCCCAGACCAGAATGCGGTTTAAAGGTGGATTCACTGGTTAAATGTTAATCATTACTTCGGCATCCTTTAGACAAGGCCCCTTAGTTATACAGCATATCACAAATCCACAAAGTATAGCTGAGAAATGAGAACCTGTTATGTCAGCAAACCTTCAGAAATAACATAAATTTCCAGTGAAAAGAACCATCACCGAGGCAGGAAGGCCTAATTTAGGCCTCTCTGCAGAGCCTGCGACGGGGCCCACCAGGAAGGACGTAGGGTGAGGTAGAATCGGGAACCCGACCAGACTCCTACGTCAATACCCAGCAAGTACTCAGCCCGGTGTTCATCTACTGCCCCGCGACACCGAGGGCCGCTCCGGCCGAGGACACCCTGAGAGGGAACTTCCTGTTCACTAATGACTGGGGGAAACCACTCAGGCTCTGTACTAGAAACAATGAGTCTGAGAATCGAGTTCCAGGACTCCAGGCTCAGCTCACTCAAGTAAAAAAGCAAGAGGTTGATTTAAGAGCGTCACGGCGGTGGCGCGGAGATCCCCGGGCCGGGTGGG